CGCGTCATCTCAGATTTCAGTATAACTCTGCTTTATATATACCAAATTAGATACTTCTTCGAGTGTATAACTCTGGAACTCAAACTGGTGTAATGTGAAGCAGATGAAACGGACAGCGACCAACGAACGGGCAAACGAGACGAACGATTTCAGTCAGTGGGACTGGTTGGACATGGACATTTGGAGGCGTCGAACGGTGGAGAAAGAGTTTAGGTATACGGGGGCACTGGAAGGGGCGGCAGAGGGGAGGGGTGGAGCAACAGCAGCAGTCTGAGCAGCAGAAATTGCAGCCGATAATAATTATTTTTATGGAGTCTAGTCTGTGTCTAGACGATTTTTTTTCTGCCTTTGCTGCTACTTTTGCTACTGCTGCTGCTGCTGTTGCTGCTGCTGCGACTGCTACTGCTGCTTACTTCACTTCACTTGTCGACCTGGCTAGTGTCTGCGCTCTCGCTCGCTCCGAACGCCCCGTCTCTCTCTGCCGCCGTCTAGCTATCTCCCTCCTTTTACGGCCTCTCCTCGCTTGACTCCCCTCACTAAATGCTGTGCTAAAGCTACTGTGTCATTGTTTTCGCTTTGATTCCGATTTTAACTGGTAAACTGGCATTTAACTGTTTTTCTGTTGCTGTTTGACAAACAAGACAGACGGACCGCAGGGGGAAAAGTCTGAGGGGGCATGTGGGGGCTGTTCCAAGGAGCTCGAGTGAGACGACAAAACGGCGACGACTGCAATGAGATAGTGAACCTGAGCGAGGCATGACAGACTCCAGTTAAATGCCGCAACAGAAAAAGACACAAAAGACAGTCGGTCAGACGTGGGGGATAGTTGGTGAGGGGGCTTGGTTTGGGAACACGAGTGGAAGGGGTTTTCGTTTGGGGCTAGACAGGGAAGAAAGTCAGGCAGTGAGCCAAGCATGCAGAGCCAAAGGCGATCAAAGGCTGTGGCAATATGGAACCAAATATATCACTGTGGAAGCCATATAAATATATATAAAACTAGAAAACAAATAGAAGCTATAGTTTCAGTTTCTATATATAGTATAGAAACCCATTTTTCTTTGCTTATTCAATGCCTTTTTAAATATCCATCTATCCTAATCTAAATTGTTTGGAAGCAGCTAAAAATTAATTTTAAAGGAAGAATTGGACATAACAATTTTAAAATACATCTTTGTGTATTTATAAGCTTAATTTTCATAAGTTATTTTTGCTAAAAATGTAATGTCTTTAAAACTGTAGTAGGATCTCACACTTTATTGGTTTATAAAAAATATATCTTAAAGATAAAAACTAATACCGTCCGCAAAAGTATGCTACAGAAATTATGTTTTGAGAATCCTTTACAAAAAAGTGCAAAACATAAAAAAGGCTTGGGCTTTAAATTGTAGATTCTAGAGTCGATTAACCGGGTAAAAATATTAAAACTTTAACAATTTAAAAATTATTAAGAAAAAATCATACCTTCCTTCGAAGCTCTTCAGCTCTGATAGTTGAAACCATATTTGGCCGGATTCATATGAGCAACTACTTTTCGCAACCACTGTGCCGGCTCCAACTGGCAACCGCTTCTGCTGACGGCGCTCCGTCAACTGCATTTAGCTGTTTGCCTCGCGGGGCACGAGAAAAATGTCACCTCCACGGCCTCGGGTCCAAAGCAGAAAGCCCGGGGATCTGGGGGCATTGGGGGAATCGGGGCTCTGGACTTGCAGACCGAGACCGGGACGATTGTCTGTTGCTGGCCGCCCGGCACTCCGGCAGACTGATGCCTTTTTTGGCCGGAGAGGAGGATCTGTCTAGGAGAATATGTCCCTCGACACCTTTCGGTCGGAGCTTTTGTTGTTGCAGCTGCCGCTGCCTCGAGATATTATGTTATTATGGCAATTATAGTTACACGACTTTGGCGGCATCTATGGCATTTTTGGCCCGACGACAGCTTGGCATGTCTGCAGTTGCTCCTGCCCTCCACCTCTGTACCCATCCATGTGGGCACTTACGCGTATACCTTCATATATCCCGGGGTATACGTTTGTGGCACCGACTTCTATACCAGATTCCCGCAGATAAGAGAAAGACGGGCAATTCTCACTCGCCGCCGCTGACTGCATTGCAATTACAAACATTTTAATGCAATTAACACACACCTGAGACGACGGGCGGCCGAAAAGGGGAGGCCCATCTCATTTGCCTGGCTCTTTTGCAATCCGAGACTTCTCTGGGTCCGAAAAAAATCAACATGTGCAACAGAACAAGCAACTTCAAAAGCCGAAAGGCGACATTCGGTGCGTGTGTCAGTTTCCCTGGGCCAATCTCTTGATGACGCCGCCACCGCTGCAGTTAGCTACGTCCCCATTCCCCAATCCCCTCCGCATCCGCATCCGCATCCACCTTCCAAAGCCCCCACCTCCACCCTTCAGCACCTTATTTGCGAGGTTTTCATTATGCCCTTTCTTTACAGGGTACGCAAATGCCGTGGAGGCGTTTGTAAAATACAAACTATTATTGAAACTCCGTACTAGAATTTATTTTATGAAGTGCAGTTTACTTAAATATGACAGCTACACATAAGTCATTCGAATTTATTGATAATCTATTTCGTTTGGAATTAACACGAAATCAGTTTGGTGAAGTTAATTTATTAGACCGGTCTGAACTTTAAAAGAAAGATATATAGTATAATAGTAAAAGATGAAACCATGAAAAAAGAATTCAGTGACGAAGCATACCTATAAAATGTTGGTAGAACCTTTTGTTAAATGATATTAATACTGGTTTTGCAAGTGTATCTGAGCCTTCGGAGTTGGAACACGACCGCCCCTCTTGATTTGCCGCTCCAGTTGTTATCAGTGGCTGTGGCAGAGCGGCAGATACAGATACTCAAAACGTTGTCGTCGTCATCGTCGTCGTCTGTCGTCGCTCGCCGCCTTTTGTAGTTGCCGCCCCGAGCTGCACTTACATGTGAAAGGTGGGAATGGAGTCCAGGAGGATCCGCAGATCCCAGGGGCGGGGACCGGGGTATTAATGCCATGTCCAGCAAATCGTTTTGACCATAACCCCACCACCATAAGCAGAAAACGAGCACAATCAGTTTGCGCTTCATTTCATCGGCTTAATATGCAGCACAAAAAAATGGTTTGTCTTTATTATCGCAGGGGAAAAGGAGGCACACACATCCTGACCGAATGCACACCCTTTTCCACATCGACTGCAACTGTCGCCAGCGGCATTCGAGGCCTCTGATCATCTGCGGCTTCCTTCGACTTCAGCTGCATTGTTTTGGCCGCCTTTGCTGGGTATCGGATATTGGTTGCGGGGTATGGGTTATCGGTTGTACGCGTCAGAACTCTGATGTCGCGACGTCAGCCAGACCCAGACGTTCAATATTCAAATATTCAAATCACTAGCCGAAAATAATAGCAACAAATCCTTCGTCGAATACAGTACAAAGAAACTGGTGATTATGCGAAAGCCCAGTCAGGATACTCTTCCCTATAAAAAAAACTTAAACTTCTTGTCTCAGATAGTGTCATCCAAAATACTAGTGCTGTTGCTCTAAGTCAAACTCCTTATACAAACTGCACAAATGTCAGCACATTGTAACGTCTCGCATGCTGTAGGCGTTATACCCGCTTTATTTGCTCGCGACTAAGTGTAGCGCATGGAAAGCAAAAGCAAAATGAGGCAATAATACATTTATGGAGCTATCGTCTAGACATTCGGCCATGCCGCCAGTGACGAAAGCATTTGGATATCGGAATCGCAGTGCGATAAAGTAAGGCCCAGAACAAAACCGCAAAAAATAGGAATGGAGAAAAAAGCGGCACGAAAAAGCGTTATCAATGTAATCAAATGATATTGATTATTCACTTCTGTCTGACTGGCCGACTACCTGCCTGCCCAATGCCAAATGTTAATGTTCTCCCGGTCTGCCTTCTGTCTGCCTGCCCCTGGCATTTGCGTAGAATTAATGGCAAATCATTTATAATCCGACAGACAAACAGTCGAAGCCACAAAGCTTCCACCTTGACCGTCGACATCTGCAATGCACACATCTACAGTGGCGTCCAGGTGGATAGAGTTGAGCACCTATATATGCACTCCTCCAGCTTAAAAAGAACTAGCCCTGCCATCTATAACTATACCTAGAACTACAAGGTAAAATGTTTAATTGCTGAATTTATATAATATTATTATTTATGTATAATATTATTATGTATTGGTATTTCAAATTAGTGGGTTCTTTAGATTTACTAGCATACATTAATATCATACAACTCTCGACACACATAACTTTTAGTTAAGTGTATAAATATATACATTTACAATTACCTACCGATGGATAAATTGCCGCCAAAATCGCGCTATTATGTTGACCCGGTGTGTATGTATTACGCAATCCGCTAAAGATTGGGTCATGCTGGAAAGTGGGCACTAAGGAACTTAGTCAAGCGATTAGCTTCCGTTTCAGCGACTGCCTGTGGATGACTTGGCAGCCTTGATAGCCCTGGGATTTCACTAATCGGCGGACGGGGGAATGGAGGTAGCCTGAATTTGTATTCTAGGTCATTAGGCGAGCAAAAACAGCAACAACGGGGATGAGGGCAAGCAAAAACCATTCCAGAATCCCCAGAAACCAGACGGATGAGGAGAGTTGGAGTCGCCGGGACTGGCAAAGGCGTGCCAGGGAATATGTTTAATTTATTATTAATGGATGGAACCCACCTTCCCTCTTACGCACGCTTTTTGATGAATTATTTCGTGTGATGCTTTCAGACGTTCCTGGAAAATTACTTACCTACGAAAAATGCTGGTCCAAGTTAAATTTAATTAAGCGGAGGCTAAGCCGCCTCAGAAATGTAATAAAAACAATTCAGGTTTAAAGCATTTCAACACAATCAATACGACTATTATTACTTTATTGGGAACGAAATAGGTAGATAGAAACATTATTTAGACGAATATAAATGCTTAGTTTGGCATCAACCAAACCTCAGATGAACCCATTACTTATTCAATATATTGAAATAAATTTTAACTGAAGCTCGTGCAACTTTGTTTGTGATCCACTCGGTGTATATTGCATAATTTCCGTTTGGTATTACTATAAATCTTCCGAATTCCTCCTCGAGATTTCCGGTAAAGAGCTTATCCACTATGATATCGTGCTGGAAAATCGCTGATTAGGAGTGTTTATCTTTAAAAAAGATTCCTTACATTATAGGGACAGGTGTGATTCATGTTGGAATTACGTTGGAAAGTTTTATATAAGGTATTAATAAATATATTTTTCTGGTTTTTCATGAACTGGCAGGCATCGTAGGACAGATCGAAAAAAAATGGCTTGTATCCATTATCAAAGCGCTTGTAGTTTACATTAACCTAAGGGCAACATTAATATGGTAATTCAGCTCAAAAACAATTTCAATTAGGCAAAAACTCACCCTTGCATCAAAAATGGGTAACTGATGCATTTTTGCGTGGATACTTATATACTTATGGGTTCGGTTGACCGCCTTTATGTGACACGTGGGAAAAGTCAAAAAGTCCGAGTTATGCGAACTGCAGTTAAGGTTGGTAAATGATACATGTCCGAAACATATCTACACAATAAAGCAAATCTTTCATATTCGGTCTAAAGAATCCAATCCAATTACCATTGGTAAAGTCACCCAAAATTTAAGAAGCAGCCACTTCGACATTTCTATTGAAACTGATTTTGGTTATTGGTTGCTCCATTAAATGCATATACCTCATTAGCTCGGTTAAAAACCGCAAACACTTATTTTAATTGCCTCATAGGATAATTGTATTTTTTTAGTATTTAGTGAATGTACGCAAAATCTTTTAGATAAAAACGGAAGTTACATTTGTAAAGTGTGGTCATTTTTATTTTTTTTGTCGTATAAAAGCCGGCTCAGTTGTTTTTTTTTTTGTTTCATAAATTTCATACAATTTTGTATTTAGAGAAAACTAAATAGAATCAAATTAGTTCCCTCTTTCAAGCAATGAACACGTTTAAAGTATTATTAAACATATAATTTAATATATTTTTAGGAATGTTATAGGCTTAAAAATCATTCATAATTGTTTAATGTTTTACTTCAATTTTTTTTGTAAAACTTAGTTACGCCTATCCGTAATTCTTACATATATGTTCACATAAGCCCGAATAATATTTTCAGACGACCAATTGGTAAATAGGGCATAGTCGCCATTTATCACTGGCAAGTAGTTCATGAAATCCGATTCTATATTTCCGGTCCAAAGATGATCCACAATTAGGTCGTGCTTAAAGAGTGTTCTATTAGTAAGAAACAGTATATTGGCTTCGATTTACTTACGTCGAACGGACATGTGTGATTGATGTTGGAACTTCCCTGGTAAATTTTATAAAAAATTTTTAGGATCGGGTGCTTTTGATTTCTAAGGAATTTGCATCCATCGAAGGTATAGTCTACGAAAAATGGTTTATAGCCGTGGTCATGACGCATAAACTTAAACGAAACCTGTGAGAAACGAGTTAATAAAAATGTACTCTTTAACCTTTATGTTTTTTAACTTACTGTTACATTATCTACCGGTAATTTATACATATTTACATACACATCCACGTACTTATGGGTACGGTTTACAGCCTTAATATAGCATTTTTTGAAACTCGCAAACTTGGGGTCTCTTGTGCCACATTTTATATTGGTAAACGTCATATGGGTGTGGATGGCCTACGTGGAAAGATTGACGTTATTAGCTCTTCTTGATCTATCCAAATTCTCACCATTAGAAATCCCATAATAATGAATACATTAAAAAGCCTTCGCATGATGACCTCCGCCAATGAGCGCACATTCAACAATATATTTAGTTTATATTTTTGAACGAATATCACTTCATATAATGACCAGGTGAATTACCAGCCATCGATATATCAAAATAACATCAGTACACAGCGGAAAAAATGATCAAGTTTAATATATGTATACACATATATATAATATAAGCATTAAAGTTATTGTGTTTAAAGTGAAATACAGTTTTTGACGGTATTTGGGCGTTGAATGTGCTCTCGATGTTCATGTGGACGGATCCGTTATCACTATTGTTGTTATTCGTAAAGTGAAAGGGTATACTAGATTCGTTGAAAAGTATGTAACAGGTAGAAGTATATATATATACTTCTAAGTATATATATTCTTGATCCGGATAACTTGCTGAGTCGATCTGGACACGTCCGACTGGAACTATAAAAGCTAGAAAGTTGACATTGAGGATGCATATTAGACATAGACGCAGCCCAAGTTTGTTTGGCCACAAGCCGCCAAAAACTTATCTTTCGCACATCCACTAGCTGAGTAACGGGTATCTGGTATTCGGGAAACTCGACTATATTTGAAAAAAGATAATTCTTTAGAGGTTTCCTAAATAAACATGTGTTCCAATACATTTATCTATTTGATACTCTTATATATATGTTTATAAATGCACGAACAACATTGTAAGCAGAAATTTCGGAATATATAGCGTAATCGCCATTAATCATGGGAATGTATTTCACAATATCTGACTCTAGATTTCCAGTCCAAACGTGGTCCACAATAACGTCGTTCTGTATGTTAATGTTTATGATTAGTTTGAATCGATTGTTTTTAAGTAGACAAACCTACTTCATATGGGCAAGTGTGGTTGATGTTGGAGTTATTCTTATATATTTCATAAATATTTTTTACAAGCGACTGTCGTTGATTTTTAAGGAACTTGCAAACGTCAAAAGTCATATCTAAGAAAAATGGTTTATAACCATTATTATGTCGCATTAATTTTACATTAGCCTGCAAATTTTTAGCCACATTACGATTTTTCAAATATTTATTTATGTGAAATTTTAACTTACCGTGACATTATTCACCGCTTTTTGATACAGACTTGCATGAATATCGATGTACTTATGAGTACGGTTCACAGCTTTTATAAAACATTTTTTAAAGTAACAAAACTTTTCGTCTCGTGTTCCGCACTTTAGATTTGTGAACGTCACATGGTTGAAAACCGCCTAGGCCGAAAATATAAGATTATTTAGTTTTATTTGTGTATCTTCTCAAAGTCTTACCACAAAATATGCAAAAATTATTAGTATAAAGAAAAGCGCTCGCATGGCGATCTTTTTCTAATGGCTTCAAAACTCATACTAATCTTTTCCGAAAATGAATTAAACAAAAGTGAATTCAGATAATGACGAAACCTATTAACAACTGCAAGGTGTGTATATGAAAAATTTATTAATTTGAAACGATTTTAGTATAAAGATAGTTTCACTTCAGTGGCGGTATTTACTTGTAAACATTTATTTAAAATTTGAGATTTTTAAATAATATTTCCATACGTTTTATTATTTTTTTAAACTCCTGATTTATTTTTTATTGTTCCTGTTTATTTTTTTATTGTTTCTGAATAGATACAATTTAATTCAGAACTTGAACTAAAAACATAATTATTATATTTCATTCATGTATTATAATATATTATTATATATTATGTATTATTATGTATTTTTTATTGTATTTGTTTGTACATATGTATGTAATTTTTCCATTCACTCCGTCACAGTTCACTTGTAACCTATGTGCATGTTATGCTTTACTAAATGGTTGAAATAAATGTTGTTTTAAATATAATGACCAGACGCATTAGCAATAGAAGAGATAATTAATCCAAAATGTATTGATGTCTTATCTGAAACAAACAAGAAATGTTTGCCCAATGTTTATTTTGTGGTTGTACATCTTATTGAAATGTTTGTGATGCTGTGTTTAATGTTCAACTAAATGCCAACTCTTATATCAATTTTTTATCTGAAAGTAGAGTTTGACCAACACACGAGGAACATTCGAAGAATACCATGTGGAAAAAATGGCATAATCTCCGTTGGGTACAGGAAGATATCGCAAAAACGCCATTTCCAGGTTACCAGTCCAAAACTTGTTAACCAAAATATCATTCTAAATTTATAGTAGGTAATTAGGATATTTAATATTTAAACACGTGTTACTTAATTACTTACATTGTAAGGGCAGGTATGATTTAAGTTTGACGAATTAATGAATGTTGAATGAAGTTCTTTTAAAAAAATCATCGATCGCTGGTTTGGATGCCTCATATACTTACAAAAATCAAAAGTCATCGACATAAAAAACGGGCGGTATCCATTGTCATACCGCCTTGTTTCTATTTTAAGCTAGAAATCAAAAAACTTATATTTATTACATTCTTAATTTTTTCATTAAAATTGCCGCACTTACCATTATATTATTAATAGGAAGCATATTCAACTTCAAATCCATATCTATATATTTATGTGTTCGATTTACCGCCTTGATGCGACACATTTCAAATATTCCAAACTTACTGTCGATCACTTCACACTTCAGATTTGTAAAGCTCACATGAGCTGTAGATAACTTAAATAAAGAATAATGGGAATTTGATTGGTCTTTATATTGATTATGCTTACTGCCAACCAGCAGGTTAAAATCACATTGATCCACCACATCTTGTGTTCGCTTACAAACTGACCCTTATAATATTTGACCGCCTTTTTTTTAGAAAATCGCCTTATTGCCCATTTAAATTTAACGGCACATGAACATGTTAATGATATAGTTTTTAATAGCTTTTAATAATGACATCTCAATCGAAGATGCTCATTTTATACCCTTTACTCGTAGAGTAAAAGGGTATACTAGATTTGTTGAAAAGTAATTACCTGGAGAAGGAAACACCGCGGCGTTCGAAGTCTCCACTTCATCCGGGAAAATGGGTTTCTAAAGGGTATCTATTCATGAATTTAAAAAATCATATTTATTTTAATCTCCAAACTAAACAAATAGCCACAATGTTTATAGTATAAAGTTAATGAATTGCGAAGCAGGCAACTCCATCTGGCCAAGATCATAATTACCATAGATACAGACACGTTCCCAAAACATTTTTGAATTTACATATTATTCAACCTGACCAAGTAAAAAGCCAGACGAAACCGAAAAGGAATCAGTGAAATAAATGTGCCCGCGGAAGAGATGACTTAAGTGAGGCCTTGCTGGGCAGTTGCAAATGGAAATAAAACTGGCCAGAAGATGTAGCAGTGCCGGGCACAAAAATCCACTCCAGACAAAAAGAATTTTATTGGCCTTCACTTAACGCTCATAAATTTGTCTGCCGCAAAATCTGAGAGACGAGACCAGAAGAGAGAAGACCAGAAAGCGAGGCAACAGAAATTAAAAGAATATTGTTTATAGTGCCACGCTTCCGCAGATGTCTAGATGTCTGGAACTGGTTCTGAGACACACAGCTCGCCGTTCTGGAGGCGAGAGATGTTTTGTAAGAGCTCCCTCCGTTTCCCATTAAAATATTGTTGCAGAACTCCGTTGCACCGGATCCCTCCCATTTCTTGTTGCGGAAAGTGCTCGCGGGTGAGTGCCGAACTTCACGCACAAATCTGATTAAAACTCGGTCCCAGTTAATGAACCAAGTCCCGACCATTGCCCCCGAGTATCCCCTCCGACTCCCAAGGGCGGTGTGCATCTGGATGGACTGCAGCAGGAAGATGGCCAGCCAGCCAGCCAGCCAGTCGCACAGATAGTGCGCCAGCTATAAATAGCCAATAGCCAACAGCCAACAGCCAACAGCCAACGAGCCACATGTTGGTCAAGTTTTTCACTCTCTTTCCCGCTTTTAGTACACTCGAGAGGAAGTCCTCGTAAGTTGTTGCGAAATTCGGCTAACTACCAATTTAAAAAGACTTAAATCTTTGAAGACTTTACATCTTCGTGCTAAGCCTGCATATTTACCAATTGGATACCGGATAAGGGAAAATCATATCATAACATTCGAGCTATCGAAATTATACCACAAACATTATAATCACTATATTTATTTGCTTTACTTTATATTCTGTAGCAGCTTAGTACTAATTTTTTAATATTATAATATATATTGGTATATTTTTAAATACCAATAAAAATGGATATTGGAAATAATCCCACCTTTTTAGCTTTTGTAGTTTCCGAGGTCTCGACGTTCATACGGACAGACAGACGGACGGACAGACGAACGGACAGACGAGCGGCAGACAGACATGGCCAGATCGAATCGGCTATTGATCCTGATTAAGAATATATATACTTCATAAGGTCGGAATCGCTTCCTGCTCCCTGTTACATAATTTTGAACGAGTCTAGTACACCCTCTTACTCCACAAGTAACGGGTATAGCTACATGCCTGCTCGCCTAATGAGTATTTGAATTATAAATGTGTTCCAATCGATTAATCGGATTAATATAACGTAATATATAGATACTTATTAGATTTCGAAAGCCTATTTCTTCTTCCGTGTATCCATTTGTTGTTGCCCTGCCCAGCAAACGTTACCCACATCCGTCCTTTGAGCAGCAGCAGCAGTTGCGCTTTTGGCTGCAGTCCGAGTTCGAGACCTCGCAAAGGTCCCCATTCCATCCTATGCCATCGCATCCCAAGCCATCCCGTCGAGTCGCCGGTGCAACAGCAACCATCTTTTAATAAATGCGAACGTGATCGCGTTTCGTGCGTCACTGCATGCCCAGACAACTCACACAGGCGCAGATACTGTATGCCATGTGCTGGAATATAAAGACCCGACTTTTCGAGGCGTTGCACCTTTGGCAAAGGTGCATTGATCGGGATTGGGATCGCTGTCTGGGCGAGTTTCTGCCCCTGCTGCTCCTCCGACTCCTCCTCGTCCACCTCCTTTTTTTGCCGCGGCCATTGGCTGCGCTTATTTTGTGTACATACTTTCTGCTGTGTTTTTTTTAGCATTTTTTGTTCATTTTGTAAAGCGAAATTATTATTGTATTATGCACGCGTATGCAACAACACAGCCAAGTATCCGGAGACAGAGCCTCTTTTCCCTTATTTTCCTCACATTTTTTCGTTAACGACGCGTGCGTCGAGAGCCGAAAGTGCGTTCAATAACCGCAGCGCGGAGCAACGATCGCGGTGGTTAATGCTCAGACGATAACGCCGGACATTGTGGATCGGTGGATTTTTGGAGCTAGTGGGGATTGGGGATTGGGGATAATGGGGGGCGGCCGATCTGGTGCGACCAACTTGAGTCAGCGGGCCTGTTTTCGCACGCCCTTGGCATCATCTGGCCATCTCGCAACTGACCAGTTGGCACTTTTGTAAATTGTGGAGCAGGGCTAAATGGAAACTGCGTTTAAATATATCTGAGAAATGCATTAATAGGCATTATTATGCTACGAGTCATATATTTCCAGCAGATTAATTAAATATGCCACGAAATATATAAATAAATGTGAACGGGACACTGAGAAATGTTACGAAACTTGAACTAATTATGATAGTATTGTAGGACTTTTGAAAAATATAAAATAAACAAAAAATATAACAGTGTAACACGGTTTTTAAGTTACCTAAGTCTTTACTTTGCTGTCTGATTTTTGCTTGATATTTAATAAAAAGTTGTTCAGTTGCTTTTAGCATGTGTGCGATTCGATTTCTTTTTCCACAATGGAAACTTTTAATCATGATGCTAATAGAGTTTCTGAGAAGCCTAGGCCTTACAATGCTTTGAGTACATTACATATTTTTAACAACTTGGCGTTAGACGCTTTAATTTGCACAGCCTAAATAGTAATTTAATTAGTAATGAACAACCTTCTGGCGACTTAAGTCCAATTTCTAGGTAGTATTAAAAGAAAATGTGCAATGTATTAAAATATATTCGCTTTTAACTTGGAAAAGATACCCACCAGCTATCAGCGAATGACTCCCACCAGAGATTCCAACGGCCATTTGAAATTTGGCTGTGACAGTGCGTTATCGCAATCGCAGGCCAAGCGCAGTTCATCGAACGAAAGCGACGCTGATACGACCCAGAGAGTCGAGGCGATGAATGGGCCAGGCAATCTGGATTACAGGGAGCCAGAAGCAGATCCCCTCCAGCTCCGCCGCCCCACTCGCCAGTGCGCCACTTGATCCTCCTGGCCTGCAACCATTGACGTCGCTACCCACAAATCAGTAAATGAAATTAACTCGCTTTCAATCGAGCAACGTTTAAACACTGTCTGATGGCATCAGCCGTGGCTACGTCGCCGATGATAATAATAAACCAATAAAATTAATACAAATTGCAATTGTTGTGTGTGTTGTGGCTCGATTGGCGCGACACACTTCAATTGGTTTGCTCTTTTCAGCTCCTGCTCCTCTGCTTGCCGTTCGCCTGGCTTTCCTTCTTTTTATTTGCCTTTTATTACGCACATATTTATTTAATGCAGGTCTGGCTGTCTAGAGGTCTTCCCGTAGCACCCGTAGCACCCGTAGTACCCCTAGTTCCCTATCCTCCCCATCTATATCCACCGACCCATCCAGTCTGTCATGTGTGCGTCTGCCCCGTTGCGTGTTTGTTTGTTTGTTTATTTTATTGTTTGCCCTTGTTCTGCTGCTGCCGGCTGCGGCAATCGAATGTCTGGCTGAATAATACGTACATATACGAGTATGTATATATATATGTATAACCATATTCAGGGTGCTTCAGAACTCTAAGGCATTTTGAAAAAGCTGGCACTCTAATTATTGCCATAGGTCCAGAACAAGTCTTGAATTCCTTTCAGTCAACAGTCTAATTATCAACTACACTTTATTTTTAGATATACCTGTAGTATTTTTTGCAACTCAATTGAAACTTGACAACTTGGGTATACAAAAATATATTAGTTTATCTATTTACTATTGCTTAATATATTCAAGCTATGTTTGTAATGATATAAAATAATAATTTTATTGACATTTCTAATAGCAATTTATACAGCTTCTAAATGTTATACCTTACGCTTATTTTAATTCCGAGTTGCGGCTGTTGATTTGTATTACTTTTCTAAAGAAATAAAAGGGATAAAAGAAATAAAAAGAAATAATAATAAAATTTAAAGTAAATTTATTAGAACATGTTAAATTTATGTAAACGCTCAGCCAAACAAAAAACGTGCTCTTCCTTGGAAAAATTGCTTCCTGTAAAATTGAATTCAAACAGTTTAGCATAAATGCGCACACATGTCTAGAGCTGTCATCAAACACATTTCTTAAATTGCCATTCATTTTCGGTACATATTAGAATAAATAGCAAAGCTCAAAATACACACATACGTGTGCATTTGGGGTCCTTTAATTCTCGAGTGAGGCCACGTGGTATTTGTTTAGGAGGCAAGAACGCATTTTTGCGGCATAACTTTCGTTGAATTCCGCCTGAGCCCCGAAAATTTTACGTAATCAGCAGCGACGTCGGAGGTAAACACGTTGCGTATGCTTTATTTCTTGGGCTCCACACACGCACATTACGTATACGCCACCGTCTGCGCCAAGCCGGAAGAGAGAGAGTGAGATTCGGTAGACAGAGAAAGAGAGAGAAAAGCACTCCGATATGCGTAGGCTGCACACATACACACAAAACTCGACTGTGTCCTTGAGAACCATTTCCAGCAGCACCTTTCCCACATTTTCCGCAATGTAGGCACTCCAAGTTTATCAGCTGCGTTCAGCTCTCAATTGTGAGCCGCAGGTTTTCTCTTTTTTCTCCGCTTTCCCTGCCGCTCTCCGACGTTCTCCCACCCAACCACCAACCCCGCCACCAGCCTCCACTTTCAGGCTCGGCTTAACGCGTTTGAAGCGCATATCCTGCGTCGTCATCCTCGCTTATGCGTAGTTAGTTGTCTGCCGCTTTTGTGGCCTAAGCTTTTATTTTATTGTGCCACCCGGACTCCTGCTCGTCCTGCTGATCCTGCTCCTTGCCACTCGGTAATCCCATACTCGTTGTGTCTGGTCCTTCCAAAATGCCGATGCCACAGACAAACAACTGGAGGAGTGGAAAGTGGTGGAGTGGGTGGTGGGTCAACCAAAGTCTCCGGTGTAATGTAATTTTGTGGAATTCCATGGAAAATAAGGTAGATTTCGGTCACGCTACCCAAATTCTGGATTATGAAATACATTCAGGTCCATGCGATATCCATTAAGCATGGAATTAGTTAGAAGATGTATTATTCCAATAATTTTTTTATACATAAACTATTTTATAGGGAAATAAAAATATATATTTAACAACCGTATCCAATTATATGAGTTCCATTATACTTTCCATACTTCAAAGTAGCTAGAATATGTTAAAATAATATATTCTTTGCCAATGTATCGGCAGATTATTT